CCTAATTTTGTTTTGTAGCTTCTATTTTGTTGGCCTTATCTTTTATTTTTTGTTGGGAAATTTTTGCGTTAATTTAGATTGTTTTAACTTAAGACAATGACACCTTTAAGACACCTAACCCCCAACTATTCTCTAGGTGCTTACATAGCTGCCCGCTGCTCAACTTGTGATGGGTCAAATGCAGAGCACAAATTTCAACATTGTATGGGAATATGCACTGGTGACAAACAAAGTACATTTATTTACTACATAAAGTTTATTTTAGGTTTGTTTAATTTGMCAAGTTGCTGCTAAGAATTTCACTTGACTTTTACAAGTTCTGTTTTCCGAACGTAATGGCTCCTAAAATAATTAAATGAGTGGTGACAGGAAACAGAGGGAAATGGAAGTGAAACAAGAGGCTGTGGATGTTTGTGTTTCAGTTTCGGTCTCARTAGAGTAAAAGCCCTCTGTGCTGACAGAAGATATTCTTAAGTTGAAAATGACATCTGCCATCCATCCCGGAGAACTTACAGCATCTGAGCTCTTGAAGTAGAGTCTGTAGTTGGTGATCAACATTTTGCCTTTCACAGCTCCACTGAATGGACAAATGTAGATGATGTCTTTCTCTGGAAATATACAAATATAAATACTCTTACATATATAGTCAATTTTTCTACAGAATAACACATGCACAGAAAGGGAAATGCAATAAAAGAAATAAGAACAGTGCAAGAAAAAAGGAACATATAATATATGTATTTTAATTAAGGTTTAACAAAGTATAATTTTTTTCATTTAGATATTGTTAACACAGTATCTGATGTAAACAACTACAGTCGGGTTTACAGGCACATGATGTGAAAAAGATAAAGTCTAAAGAAAGGCTTTAATGGTAAAATGTTTCTGCTTACCTGCAATTCTTTCCTCTCCTGGTAGAAGAGACACGTCTGCTAAAAATTCCATCTTCAGAGAACCTCTGACAGTCTGAAAAACACACCAGTGGTTTTACTTATCAATGCAACTCATTTACAACATTCATTAAAAAAGTATGTTAAAACAAAACAATACAAATATAGCATGAACAACCGTGACCCCTGACATGACCACCACCGGTCATGTCTCCTAAGTAGGGCTGGGCGGTATACCATTTTGTACCGAATACTGGTTTTTATTTTTGTTATGATATGAATCTTCTGAATACTGAATATACTGGTTTAAATAGCGGAATGTTTCGTCGCGGCCGCCAGTGAACTGTTGTTTCCTGGGGGACATTTTTCCTTGCTGCACCACTATGTGCGTTAGCATGCTAATGTTTGGAGCAGCTAGTTGCAGCCGCGGGTGGCGATTCCGCGGCTTATATTGACTGACGTTTAAAAAAAA